GGTCTGTAGTTCCCTGGGTCCTCCTTCTGGCACTTCTTTTAATCTCGATTTAAACCTAGTTAGCTGTGAAGCGTTAATTTATTTTGTCTAGACAGAATGCATTCATTATCTCTGAACAGCAAAGCAAACACTTCTAGACTTAAAAGAATGAAATCGAATAGGGGTGTCAATATAATGCTTTACTTACCAAGTTATGAGTCTTCACGTATACATTGTCATGTTTTTTTTAAATGGCTTAGATTTTGGCCTGCTCTGTAAATTTCTAGTCTGCATTATGCATTTTTTTAATGAAGAATGAAATATGATTACCAGGGAAAAGCTCTTGTTCAGCTTTCTTGTAGTCCCAGATGTGCACCTGGTGCTTTTGTGTACTTGTGTGTTAAGCTGGGAGGCATCTCTGTGACAGCATCTTGCTAATGAGCTTGGGTTTAATGCATATAAGAGGACTGAATGGTAAGCATATAATTGGTAAAACAGCTTTAAAATTTAACCTAAACTGAATCAAGCAACTGAAATGTTAACATTGTTTTTCTTTAATTCGCTTTTGTCTTGGAACCTGTCTGCTTATGCAGTGCTTTTACCTTCTGTTGCTTTTCTAAGTGCCAGCTTCTTTCCCAGAGGTGTTCAGTGACTAATGCTTTGGTTTCAAGCCAGAATATCTGATAAATGTCTATTTCTAGGCAGCCTTTCTACAAGTCTTAATTAAACTTTAATGTCAAGCAGAAGTTTACTTTGGACCCCATAGGGTGTCTGTACTTGTAACAGGATTATAGAACATTACATAGATCATAAAAGAGGCATGTTCACTTGCCCTCTTTGTGACCTGTTTCATAGTAACTCAATATTATGCTTTGAGTGAAGAGTGTATTTTGAAATAATGTCTGGAAATACTGTAGCAGTAGCACGGTGCTGTTCTTGTCTGCAAAGGAAAGGACCTATCTTGTAAAAGCCAGAAGCATGACTGGTCTGATAACAATTTTCTTGGTCTCGCATTAATAACCTGGGGCTTTAAAAAGTACAACACTGGAGATGACCATCATGTAACTGGTGTAGTACCTTCAGTTACAGGACTGACTAAAAACTTCCCTAATTATCTCCAACTGAGCTTTGTCAGAACCAGATAAAATTAACTGAAAGAGCAGTGGTGGGAAATTTTTGCATACAAGCTGTATATAGAATTACTTTTGACTTATAGTATGATAATTTATTTTTATAGGCCTCATGATAAGAAAACGTATCTCGCTGTTGGAAGTATGAAGACTTTACTGTTGAACATTTCTCTGCTTAATGTTGGAGATGATGCATATGAAACTGTCCTCCACATTCAGATCCCTACAGGTCTTTATTTCATCCGAGTTTTAGAATTGGTAAGAACAGAAAAATCTGTCAAACAGTAATCCTTTGATACTGTTCTTCTTCAGCCAGATACTTTACAAATTATGGATTGTTGAGGTTTCTTTAGCTACTGACAATTAAACTACACACACACCAAAAAAAGCTGATAAAAGTTCACTTTTGAAGTTCGCTGACTTCTAGCTACCTGAACCATGTGCAATATAATCAATACAGGTGACTTAAATCATTTCAATAACAGGATCTGATGGTAACAACATAAATTAAAAAATTGGTTTCTAAATGTATTTCAGGATGTTACCACTACTTTTAGTCTGATGATCATGTTTTGAGTGATCACAAAGATCTCATTGAATCTGTTCTTTTTCACAGGTATGCAGTCTTATGAAGAAGTCACACATCAAATTGTTCTCTCTTTCCGCCTTTTTAAAGTAACTGCTCTCTGTGTAGAATTCCCCTGCCACCTTTCAGAGGTTGGCTTTAAACTTGCGTGGGTCTAGGTCTGATGAATACATTTTAGCTTCATTATTAGCAAAGAGACGATGAAGTAACAGGATGCAGCAATCAGTATAAGAATATGTTGAAGTGGTCATGGATAATATAAATGTTCTGTATGTTTGTATCAGTGAAGTAACAAACACCTCAGTTCAGGGAAATAAAAACCACTCTATTACAGTTTGTGCATGTAATTTGAAATGCCTGAAAAAGAATTTTGTTTTAATCATTAATAATTTGTCCTTCACTTTAGGAAGAAAAACAGATACACTGTGAAGTATTAGACAAAGAAGTTCATGCAGAGAAACTTGAGTGCAGTGTTGGTTATTTATATGTAGATCAAAAATCAAAGGTAAGCTGTTGAAGTTCCTAGCTTTAAAAACACCCTAAATATGTTAGAAGGATTTTCAGGGGGAAAAGAATCAATCTTGTTTTTCAGAATCTTTCCTTCATTCCCAACTAACATCTTTCATCATGCTGGTATCTGAATCTCTCTGCTACTTTTAAAATTAGTTGCTTAAACACTCTCTGTAATAATTCACTGAGGGATAACATTGTTTGTATTATGCATTAGCTGATTGTGCTTGGCTTCCTAGACAAGTGAGCTGACTGAGGCTGTGAACAAATGTGTTAGGTCAGTAGAAAGGGAGTAGAAGACACAAAAAGCAAGTATTTTCTTAGTTCTGATTTTTTTTTTTAAACAGGAAATTCTAAATTAGTTTAATAAAATATTTTTCTTTAAACTGTGTTAAGACATACTATCATTTGATATGAACAAAATTTTATTTGTTCTGCAGCTGGATTTTAGTTTCCTCTTGGATGCAAGCTGGTTTACCAGAGCAGAAGATGACATCAGTATCATCGTTAATGCTACCTGGTAAAGTCTAATACAAATTGCGCTATATGAAAAAATATTACTAGCTTTGTAAAACAGAGTAGGGAATACTGGAAAGACTTAGCAAAGCAAAATTGCAAGAAGGCACATCCATTGCAAATATGTACAGAAAGGGAAATTACAAAAAACCCCCACAGATAATAGCTATTTAAATAATGAGCAGATTCTGCCTGTATAAAATGTTTGTTTTTTTTATTGTCTGACGTGTTACCAATAAAATATTTTTGTTTTAATAAGCTGAAAGGTCTTTAATATTTGTTTATAGAGATAATACATAGCATGTGATGATGTATTTGATACTCATTTTTCTCTCATTGCATTTTTATAGTAAAAATGAAGATGGGAACATGTTGCTGGATAACACGCTAACTTTAGCTGTACCTCTAAAATATGAGGTTGAGTTAAACGCTCATGGGTAAGTCAGCTATTGCTATACACATACATCTGTAGAACTGTTGTCTTGTTACTAGTGTAAATTCCCAAAGCTTTTAAGCAAAAGCATGATGTAGCTGAAAAATCCTGGGACTGAGAAGGCACGGCTATCCTGGGGTCTGACCCATACACTTCTGAGACACTGTTTCCACTACTGTGAAATGAAACCAATGATACATCTGGTGCTTTGAAGTTCTCTTAACAGGCAATTTTTTTTTTTAAATCTGGAATATTTTTTATAGAAAGAGGTATTTAATAAGAGCACAGCAGATCCTTAGATTTCTTGCTTAACATGGGCCATATTTTGGATTTGTTGTGGGTCATTCATTGAACATAGTTTGTGGTGAGGATTTATGACTTTTTTTCTGATTCACCTGCCTTTTTATGAGGAAGGAGTACAAAAGTAGAAGACTTCTACTCAGAGTTCCTAGATTTACTTAAACACAAACTCAAGTATTTTCTTAGAACCAGTCTGACTGGAGATAGCACGGAGTAGAAAGTTATACTAATTATATATAGGAATTCTATTAATTAACAACCTCTAAACCATTGTAGATTTGTATCACCAGCTTCATTTATTTATGGAACAAATGAGGAAGATTCACCAGTTATGTGCATGAGAGAGAATATCAACTTCACTTTCCATGTAAGAGTTTTTCTTTGTATGCCCTATTATCTTTGTTTTGAAGGTTAATGCTTAGATTTTCAGTGTATCTAATGACAGTTGCACAGACAGTAAGGGAACTTTTTTAAGAGTACAATTGCATGGTGAACAACTTTTATGCATCAATGATGAGAAATGGCTGTTGAACAATTTTTTTGGCCTGGACAATCTTGCAGTGAACAGACAAAGAAAAAAATTCTTGGCACAAGCAGGGTTGGAATTGATAGAGCAGTTCAGACTTGCCACTTCTTTCATTAAGAAATACTTCAAAAGGAACTGTCTTATGGTAACCAAAGGGAACCAGAAGCCCCTTCTAAGAGGATCTATAGGTATCAGATTTGTCTCCAATGGATTAAAAGCAGGAGTTAGACATTAATCTCTCCTAGTTCCTTTTGCATATTCTCCTGGAAGGCAGTCTGTATGACCTCGGGGTAGTCATCACAGCTTAGTAGTACTTATGCATTGGGTTTGGTAAGCCTGCAGAATGAATTAAGCAAAAATGTTACGACTCCTAGCAGAATCCACTTTCATGACAGTGTAACAATGCAGGTGCTACCCCTTTCTGAGAAGTGTTTTGTATTTATAATTTATATATGTGTGTGTGTGTGTGTGTGTGTGTGTGTGTGTGTGTGTGTGTGTGTGTGTGTATTTGTTACTTGAATAGCTTCCATGAATTAAAGCTTTAAATGTATAACATCTTCCCCCACAAGGTTATCAGTGCAGGACCAAGCATGGCTCCAAATACAAACTTAGAGATAATGATACCTAATGCTTTTCCACCCAATGACTTCAAATTATTCAACATATTGGATATCAAGGTAAGAACAGGTTAGATAATGTAATTTTATTAGCTATAAGAATTAAATTAAAAAGAGAAGCAGAGCATAGTAGAACTAGGTACAAAGCATGTGTTCAATTTCTATCAATTTCAAACATACCTAATACCATAATAAGGGTCTTTATTAGAGTCCTATTGAATTCAGTGAATTCATCTGTGCAAAGCTTGATCCTTAGCATGCATCTGTATTTGTGTTTGTCAGTTCTTTCCTGCTATGAAGTAGCAGAATACAGTGTATTAAAACAAATCAAAGAATTTCTGCATCGGGTAACTCTTTAAAGATGCTAGACTTAATTATTTCATCTTGAACAGAGTATTCATTGTTACGCAGAATATACAGTATACAGTCTTTCCTTTGTAGAACATAAGAATCAGCTAACATAGGGTACAAGAGATTCCTCATGTCTGCAGTATGTCTAAATATGCCTACAGCAGTTGACTCAAATGAGCCCAAGATCTTGAAGCTCCTTTCTGGTTTAATCATATCTACTTCCTAAAATGTTCTCTGTAACTCAGTGTACACAAAAGCACACCAGTTTGTTAGCTGCAGTGAAGCGGAGTGAACAAGAATAAGATGATCTTCAGCCCCATGTGTTTTACACTTCTGAAAAGAAAAGTTACATTCCTTTTGAGCATTTTGCTTTTCAGAAGTCTTTATTCTGATTATTATCTGATGTTTAAATTTTGATTGTTATTTTTCTTCGCAGACAACAGTTGGCCATTGCTCCTATAATAAATATCCCAGAAACTGTAGTGCAGCAGAAAAAAATGAAAACATATTGAAGGATGTTGTCACTTTCTTTTCAAAGCCTGCTAAGAGACAAATGGTAAGGTCTGTCTTTTGGCATCAGTGAGAAATAAATGACTGTATGAATGAGTCTTAGGACAACAGTATATCTTATATAATGAGGTCACTAGAGCAGTCTTCCAGGGATTTGTGGTGGGACCTGTGATAAGTTCAGCATAGTCGTAAGTGACTTTAGTGAAAGATGTGAGAACTGAGGTGAGAAAATTGATTGAGATGTCACTGAAGTCCCTGTGGATGAGAGTCACTGTGAAGAACTGCCAAAGGGTTATATAGCTGAATGAGTGGGCAACAGAATGGCAGATGCAATTGAGTAGCAAATCAAAAATACGCATGTAGGAAAAACAGTCTTAATTTTAATTACATGAAGTCTACAGATCAAGTATTCGTTGTCTTTTCCACATCAAAGAAGTGCTATCAAATGTAACTAATAGGAACTAGGTTCAAAAAAACCAAGAGTAGTACTCATGGTGAAACTTCTTACTGAAGGGTCTTATGAATGCTAAAAAGAGGTGAAATCCAAGGGAGACTGTACAAATTAATGGTACTGAAAGCCATTAAGGATTGCAAAATATATGGAAATAATTTTTGGCTCAGAAAGTTCTTATTAAAAGTATTTGGGAGGCTGGGAGAATATTGTTCAAGCTGGTCCCTCTGTACCTGCTGGCGATCAGATACTTGGGTTATGTACTCCAAACCAGAATTGCTATTCTAGTGTTAAGATTTCTGAGGGCTTGTTCTTAGAAATGTCTGATTTGCAACCTGTGTTTGATAGAGTTTTCTTTAATCTTAAAAAAAGCTGGACATTTTAAAATATGTTAATTTGGGACTTTAAGTAAGCACATTACAAGGAACCTCAACCAATGATTGAGACTAGAATATCAAATCAGAATTTAGCCATTGAGTCTTGGACAAAGAATGTGTGTCAATCAGTTATACTGTTGATACTGGATATCACATAGTTATTGTCACCTATCATTCTTGATAAAAACTAATTTGAAATAGCAGTGTAAAACCCAACCAAATTATTGCAATTGCTATTTCTCAGTCTAAAAAAAAAATTTTTAACAAAAATGACCTCTTGTTTTCTATCACAATTACATTGGTCCCTTGTACTGTACTTTAGCACCTATGGATTGGCAGTGATGGATGACAACCTAGATCTGCAACCTGACTTTTCAAGAACAAACATGGAGCTTTTTATTTTGTTTGATTCCCGAGTGTCTTTAATACTAAGGCAATACAGTTGATATACTTTTAAGTTAAGTTTCAGTCTTTCCCTCCCTTCTACAGTATTGCATGAAAAATGACAGCCTTTGCTTACAAATACATTGCAAGCTTGGAAACATGGAAAGTGGAAAAGAAGCAACCATTCAGTTGCATCTGGAGGCTACTCCTTCACTTTTAGAAATGGTAAGACATTAGTTTTTCATATTGAGAATATTTCAAGGCATATTTGCAATATTGTCTGCATATAAATTCTACGTATTAATATATTTTTGCAAACAGTATGATTAAATCCAAATCCTTTGGGTGTCACCTATTCTATGTTTTCAATGCTGAGTCTCAAACTGATACATATTTTTCAGTGGTTTTCGTTTTTTATATATTTTAGATTATTACTTTATTTTATAATATGTATTGTATTGCCTATTCTGGCTGGATTATGTAGGATTGGGATTTAATTTCAACTCATAATTGTACTTTTCTAAGAAAAACAGCATGGATGTGGACTTAAGTAAAATCCAACTGGGCTTCATTCCAGCTTCTGGTACTAATTTGTTTTGTGATCAGAAAAAGGCATCATTGTATGCTGGTGTGAGATTCTGTTTCTGTGAGCAGCTGTGTTACCATTTTTGCTGGGGAGGAATTAATGTGTTGAAGTTTTTTTAAAAGATATGATTTTTTTTCTTTTTTAATCAGGATGATGCATCAGCACTGAAGTTTGAAGTAAGAGCAACAGCCTCACCAGAAAAAAATGCAAAAGTTATTGAACTGCACAAGGACAAGCAAGTTACATATGTAAGACTTCTCTTAATCAATTTGTGATAAACATGTTAAAGCAGAAAAACCAACAGCTGTTAAAATTGCAAAATTCTATACATCTCTATACACAGGCAATTAATATAGTCTTAATTACTTAAGAGTGTAATTTTTCTAGTACCTTTTAGGTAAAAAAATATAATCAGCGCTGAATTTATTTTCTGCTTTCCAGGTCTTTTTGGAAGGACTGCACCACCAAAAGCCAAAATACCATGTTACTGTGCTAATTATTGGAACAGGCTTAATAATTGGTGTTACCTTGTTTTTGCTTCTTTCATTTCTATTATGGAAGGTAGGTTTTCAGTATTTCTCAGTTGTTTTCAAGTCTGGAATTCACACTGTTGGTGGATCTTTGGATCTGTTAATGCAGGTTAAAGGCTAAATATTTTCTTTTGATCTGTCCTTTTTAAAGAAACATAATTTCTCCTAGAACTTGTGTTTTTTCAAAATACTTCATTTTATCTTCTGTGTATTCTCCACCTTATGTTATTCAATACCACAACCCCCTGCTCATGTTTCATATGGCACCTCATGAATTGCAAATGTTTCATACAATTTAGTGATATCAAATGGATCATTTTTGTGGGGTGGTGCTCCACATTTAATGTCATTTGACACATGACTAATAGCCTACAGCATAGTTTCATGCAACAATAAAATGTTTTAGATTTTAAACTGCAACATGAATGCTAAAACAATCCTGTGCTTAAGTAAAAAAGAAAACTGTGAAGGATGCAGCTTCTCTGACAAGTGATTTAGGGGAGACTTAACTACTTCACCTGCATGCAGACTTTCTCCATCCATCATTTTTTCCCAGGGGAGTGTACAAATAAAACAAATTTAACAGGGAAATTTTATCACCATTCCACATTTAAAAAAATATTGGATTCTGTGGACTATTACAGTTCACAAGCCCACACCCTTGCTCTTTGCAGGAGAGTATTAGCCTTCGAAAAAGTAAAAGAAAAAGCAAGCCCACTTTTTTGATTGATGAGTAACACTTGATTACTTGGAATGACAAAGCTATGGCAAATACCATTGCTCCTAAACACTATATGTATATGCATTTTATTTTAGTTCATCTTTTATGGTTTAGATTTGATAACAAAGAGTTACTAACAACAGTTTCCAAACTTATGTATTTCAGATTGGCTTTTTCAAAAGGCAATACAAACCAGTGCCTCAAGACATGAACAGAAGAGACAGCTGGAGTTTTACAACTGGGAACAAAGATGACTAAGATGGCTAATAAATGTTTGATTTTAAAATGAAGAATTTAAGATTCAGGTTAACTCACAGGAGAAACACCAGGGACAAGAAAACTGGTCTTGAGTTCACTCCCTCTCACAAAATACACTTTATTTCCTTGCACTGTGTGGAGGACTACACCTTAGAGTTCTGTTGTTTTTCTAATATGAAAATGGTAAAACAGTTTGTTTTGTAGACTCACAGTAAGATTTGAAATGCTGTATATGTATCTGGTTTCAAACAGAAGAACACTAAAGATAAATAGAAGAGTAATTACTTACCAGAAAGAAGAATTTCTAGAAAGTATCAATGTTTGACCAGTCCTGGAAAATAAGATCTCGAACATATTAGCATGACTTAGTCTATTCATTTTCAAGTTTCAATCATCTTTTGATTAGACATTCAAGAAGAAATCCTCCCTCATCTTGATTTGGCAATTTTACAAGGGTAGATTAGCTTAAACTGATAGAAGGCATGGATGTAGAAAACAGCTATCAAGAAGCTCTCTTGGGCTTCTGAAAGGTAACCTCATTAGCTTTGGTTTCACAGGCACAGCCACAACATTGCTGAGACTTAGACACCCAGGCAAGCCAGAACCAGGAAGGTCAAAGGTAGATTCAGAGCAGAGAGTTTTGTGGAGTAGGCTGGAGATGCAGCACAGAATCCTCTCTGAAATGTAGAAAGAGTTGAGATGGAGATGATCATTGGAGATGATCATTTGTTGCCATCTTTAACATGGTACTTGCAAGCATGACAGAATCAGTTGTTTCATCCTCTCCTCAGATATTGTTGCCTTGATGTTTTGGACTTCTCCAGTGGAATATTTCTGTGAGTTTTGTTTTTTTTAAGCAAGTATTTATTTTTTATTTATTTGAAGAGTTTTCTATAGTACTTAGCATAGTAGTATTTAGTGCTGACATTCTTCCAGGACTTGGAAAAAAAAAAAAAGAGACTTCACATGATGACCAAACAGAGAAACACATACCCAAAAGACTCCAAATGCCAATCTTACCGGGCCAGATAGTATCTTTAGATGTGCCACACTTTACCTGAAAGTACTTAATAAGGAAGTAATTTGGAGAGCTAGCTTGGGTTCTTGTGAAGTTTTCAGATAAATACCATCCAAACAGGCATCCTCAGAAGCCACTCAGCAGAAAGGCAAATGGCCTAACAGAAAGATGGTTCAAACCGCTGCTCTGCTACTACAGGAAGTTTCTTCAGGTAGGTAAGTTTGCACTGCCACCTAGCTTTGGTGAAATAGTACAAGCCAAGGAAAAAATAAAATACTTTGCTCCCCAGTACAACTGGAGAATGTACAGCTTCTTCAATAACTGAACTTATTTTCACAGCTGTATGCAATATGGCCTTTCTGGCTGTGCCTTTGATGTCCTTATGAACTGCAAGGAGAAATGAATGTAACATGTACATACGCTTTGAAGCTGTACCATCATATGGGAATTAGCCTGAGACTCAAAAGCCATATAGAGTACCTTCAACAAGCACTTTTGCTAATAGAGTGTTTGGTGCCATAAAAGTCACATTGTTCACAGATTCTAAAGGTGTTGGGGACCATTTTGTAATTTTGTTTCACTTCATTTGATGCCAAAGATGTAGATCACTCTAAAGTAAATTTTCTGTCTAAAATCTTCTGCAATGTAAGGACAAATGAATGTGCATATATTTTTTTAAAAAATTAAGTATGTGAAGAATGAAACATTTTCTTGCAAGTCTGAAATTATGCACAAAATGCTTACCTTCAAAATGGCTTCAGTGAATTTTTGCACTTTAACCAAAATACTTTTGAACAGAAATTAGTTTGATAGTACAGCATATTGTGAAAAATATACCTCAAACAGTAGAAGACGACTTAACATTCTTCTTAGTACAAACAATGCAAAGAAGTGAAACTAAAACATTTTATTTATCTTTGACATAGTTTACATAAGTCAGTACATGTGATAAAGTTGCCTTGGATATGGTATACTTTCTATTCAGATTTTATTATTAATGTGTTGGTTGCCAGTTCTTAGGATATGAAGCAAAATTCAATTAGCTTTTATAAGACACATATTGAAAAAAAAATAAAATTACAATGTCCTGATGGCTGCAAGATTAATAAAATGAAATTGAGTGGTACTTTATAATAAGAATCCCAACAAGTTAAGCACTGTTAAGCTGTTTCTTCTGCAAATTCAATTATTTTGTTAATTTTCAGTTATATAATAAAAACTGTTAAATCTATTAAATGTAGCTAGAATCTCCTTCTTAGACGACTCCAGGAAGTTTAGTTTTAATTGTCTTAACATGTTAAAAATATCTGATGTGCTATAGTATCAGTTATAGTAGTTTAACTGGAGACTACTCTCTGCACCTCAGACAAGGGGTATAAACTGAAATGAGAGGTTCCAACTGGACACAAGGAGAAAGCTTCCCCTCATGAGGGCAGCCAGGCATTGAAACGGATGCCAAGAGGTTGTGTCACCTCCATGCTTCAAGGTTTCAAGGCCAAACTGGATGAAACCCTGAGCAACCAGATCTGGTCTCATTGTTGGACCCAATCTGAGCAGGAGGTTGGGCTACAGCCCTGCCAGGGCCCTGTCCAGCCTAAAGGATGCTGTGACTTGATCCTATTCTGCAGCTACTAACTCCAGTGCAAAGAGCAGGAATAAGATTCCTATAATAATTCAGTGCCTCTGAAGCAGGCATTTAATTGTCTATGAATTTGGCCTTTACTACTGGCCAGGTTTGTCTACAGAAACTGCATGAGATTTCCAACAAGTAACAGCTTGTTCTTAAGAGACAAATAAGCATCTGCAGTACTTGAGGCACACTGCTGTTTTGCTGTGAGTATTTATCACGGGTAGTATTTAAAATAAAAATATAGTAGCTATAGATTCCATGTAAAGGCTTAGGGCCTTGATTTAACAAAATATTGAAGGACTGGATTTCACATTATACTCAGCTGCTTATTGAAAAAAGAACGTACTTAAGCAACTCATTCTAGCCACGGGAAAATAGAGCATTCATTGCAATATTTGTCAGCCACCTTCTGAACAATTTATAGACAAGTGAGCAGGAAAACATTTGTTATCCCCATGGTCCTGCAGACAGACAAGCTTGTGGGTCTGCTACTTTTCATCATCTCAGAGAAAGCCAGTTCCCAAAAAGAATATAGTACTTATTTGCTGTCATATCAAATAATTGTATTAAATGTTTAGTAAGCTACAAAAAAGCCACCGATAAAAAATATGTTTATGTCCTATTTAGAAGTTATTAAGATGTAAGTAAGTCGATTAAGTTACTTATCATAACTTTCTCAGCAATAACAAAAGCTATGCTGAATATCATTTCAGTTCTAGGATAGCTAAAATATTTTTAAATATTTTGTACAAAGAGTAGTCTTTAAAAGACATTTCAACAAAGAAAAGCTGTATAAAACATCAGCATATTCTTTTGTATTACTGTTTGACTACAAATTATTTTGAAACAAATACATTAAGGCAGCATTAAATATATGTAGAAATGAAAGTACTTAATTAATAAAAAAATAAATTTATATTTTGCTACCATTCTTCAGCATGAGGTGGTAACATACCTCCCCTCCCCAGCTCTATTTGAACTGAATTACCTGACAACACAGATAGCAGCAGACTTAGAAATATTTCATACTATATTTATTGCAGAAGCTAGTATAATTGTAAAGGAAAAAAATATTTTCTTCTTTTCCGATGAAAACTCTGAATTCATAAGAGACCAACATAATAATTTTCGTTTTTTCTTGTTAAGTCTAACAGTTTCTTTACAGTTTAATACAACCTGATAAAAATATAAAACTTGATAAAAATTAAAACCAGAAATATTTTGAACATCCCAGTTAAGCTTCAGCTACAACAACTGAATTCAGTGAGTGAAAGCCTGGGACCTTGGGAAGCTGTGCACAGAGGGGAGAAAAGCACTCCTTAATACTGAACTTGCAGGGTGTCCCTTCTATATGCAGCTGCATGTGGCTTGGGAACTCTCCAGGTCATCAGTGTTCACTCCATAGAGATCGATAAGTTGAGGATGCACCCTGTCAGGAGAGGAAGTCAAACTTTACAAATTTCAGTGACTCATGTGCCACTATTTGGGGTTGGAGGAAGAAGGAAGTGGGTATGAACTGCTATGTGGAATGAAATCACCTGAATTACATTTTAACAATCCCTATAAGGTTATCTTTAGAAGTATACATTATATATGCTATAACATGATCTGCCTTTTATTCTACATATCAGGCTTTTACTCTGAGCATTGTGCATTCAACTAATCCTGTGTGTATTGCAGAAGAATGAGCCACTGCCCATTTAATTCCACTGATAATCCTCCTATTTGCCTATGTATTCTCATAGTCCCTTTCTTTGATCCCAGATATGGCAACTATTCTCAAGCAGCACTAGATTTCCCACTATTGGACAACTATATGTTTTTTTAATAATAAAGTTACATATGCTGCTTTCCAAGCAGGAATCCTTATCCCAAAAGAAGCTCCTCCCAGGATTCAAAAACCTTTATATACATTTGTTTTCCTCTAAGAAACAGAAGGGTGAAGGAACAGGCAGAAAGAAGGGAAGTGGAGCTGGAAGCTGACAAAGCACCAGAAAGGAAAGGCCAAGTGGGTCATAACAAACCTTTCCAAACATGGGCACAATGCAACAGAGCAAAGGGGCCAGACTGTGCAGTTGCACAAAAGCGCACAAAAGTACTGTTCTTACAATATTTATAACACCGAGCTTTGGTGTCATCTATATTATATATATTTAAGATTGCCATACTGATCTGTTACAGGCATACAGTCCATAAACACAATACTTAGCCTTACCGAATGTGAACTTGTGATCCTTCTTGCATTAAGTCTCCATCTATGTTCCAAGGGTAATTTCCTTCTGCAGAAGCAGCATTCAAATACGTATTTTGTTTTGCATCAAGCCCTCTTTTAAGCCTTGGTTGTACTTTTAC